ACATATATATATATATATATATACTTAATATAGAATACTTAGAGAGAGAGGAAAAAAAACGCCTTGTGAGGTAGCAAATGTTTGAAATGTTGTGAATGGTTTTAATCCATTCTTGGAAAAACTAAACACATTTACATTTTCTATGGCATTTTATGTGTCCTAATTGAAGAAAATAAAACTTTATTTATGACCCTGGAATTTTTTTTTTTTTAGTTCCCCAGATATGCAGAGATTGTCCACCTGACCCTGCCGGATGGCACCAAGAGAAGTGGACAGGTGTTGGAAGTGATAGGCAGCAAGGCAGTCGTCCAGGTAAAAACTGCTGGCTTTTGGTACACCAAGTGATAAAAACGTCTTCAATCTCCTAATACATTGGCATAAAACATGGCTGAGAAACTGTCTTGATTTTTTTTTTTTTCTGTAATATAATCTTTTTCAAGGTGTTTGAGGGAACATCAGGAATTGATGCCAAGAAGACGGCCTGTGAGTTTACTGGCGATATCCTGCGTACCCCTGTATCTGAGGACATGCTAGGTACGATTTGATGTTATTTCACTCAACAGACTAAATCTGTATTCACTCATGATGACAAAAATACATAACTCCTACCATGGTAAATTAATATTTATAAAGGTAAAGATATATGGAAAAATTAAAGCATTTTTCAACATTTGGTAAGATGATCCAGGAAAAGTACCAAAAGCCTCCCTAAAAAAGATTTAAAAAATTTGAAAAAACAAAAACGGGCACATTTTTATCCTTGAGAAAAATTGATTCAATGAATAAAATCATTTAAAAAAAAAAAAAAAAGTATTTTTTTTTTTTTTCATCCTCATCCTCTCTATTTTCTTAGCAACAATTATAAAAAGATGTTGAATTTTACAAAAGCATTCACACATCTCCCTGCGTGCTTATCTCACTAATGTTTCTGGAATTCAAAGGAAATGGTTAAAAGCAGCAGCAGCAGCAGCACTGAAACAAACCTTCATTCCCTCACGCAGCTCTTCAACGTCTCTGTCAGTGCAATTATCTCAGTGCAGGCTGTAGAAAGTAAATCCGCTATTGTTTTTGAAGTATCATTAATCACCTCCATGAATTTATGATTGCTTCTACTTGTAACTTGGAGACTCGTCAAGAGCCATCAGGAGCACACTTGTGTGTTTAGACTCAAACAGAGAACAGAATAGATCAGATGTGGTTGGAAGCGTCATCTAATGAACTTCATTTAAGTTATGTTTCTTTATTAATTTTTGTGGAATATCTCTATTATATAGAAACCAAATCATTGCCTTTGAATTTCCTGAATGAAAATATAAAATTATCTCTTTTTTTCTCTCTTTTTTTTTTTTTTTTTTTAGGGCGCGTGTTCAATGGCTCAGGCAAACCTATCGACCGTGGACCAAATGTTTTGGCTGAGGACTATCTGGACATTATGGGTATGACCTTATTGACCTATTGCCCACCTCACATGTGTATTGGAATATCTTTATAAAATTGAAATAGTACATAAATAAAGACATAAATTAATTTAAAACTGTACCATAAAATATACATCTTTTTTTTTTCCTAGTTACTAAACAGTTTTTTGGGGGGGCTGGTCATGGAAGTTGGTTCAACGCTTAGTGTAGTTTAGGTGTAACAGGAATTTGAGATGTTAAGAACCTCCCTAAGATGTACGGAAGTTAAAACATACTATAGTATGTATAGAATATTAGAAAGCAAATATTAGAAAGCATAAGGTGATTGGGTGTAGCAACGTAATATTAGAAAGCAAATATTAGAAAGCACAAGTCTCTACAGTTTCCTGCCGTTAATCACTGGCAGTCATGCACAGGTGATTGGGTGTAGCGACGTTTTTGTGAGTTCACAGCAGTGAAATGTTTCTCGTGTCCAATTATTGTCAGCTACATTTACACCGATCGGCCACACCTTTCTTCTGATGAAGACAGATTTTGAGTTTTATATCATTTATTCTGGATGTTCACGGGTGTTGCTCTGTGTCTTTTCAGGTCAGCCAATCAACCCTCAGTGCCGTATTTACCCTGAGGAGATGATCCAGACTGGAATCTCGGCCATCGATGGCATGAACAGCATTGCCCGTGGACAGAAGATCCCAATTTTTTCAGCTGCTGGGCTGCCACACAATGAGGTGAGAATCACAAACTCTAGTGTATTCTCGTGTACGTATGTCAAGAATGTCCCCAAAGAAATAAAAACCTTTGCAAATTAGTCACAGGCACTGTCCAGTTGCGATGCCTCTCCAACTTAAATATCTTAGTCTAAAACCAGCGGAGCGCTTCCGACTCTTTTTTTGAGCAACTCTACAAAGGAACATGCAAGGCTTTACTTTCAAAAAAATTGTAGCTGAAACAGGGCATTAAAAAAAAACATTAAAGGTAGGAAACGCTCAATTCTACAAAATAAAACCAAATGCTTTAAATACATGTGATAGAGTAGGGTTTGGCCTTCATGCTTAAGAAGAGTCATTATGTACGTAATGTACATTTTATAGGTTCCCACCATTCAAAAAAAAAACAACCAACGATTTAAATTATTTTATTCAAACGAAACATCTAAAAGTCAGACCGAGACGCCATCGGTCTTACATATGCTGATTAGTACATTAATGGAAATGTCATGCAGTCTCTAACCTTTTCAAATTTTAAATGTCGATGTCACTATTTTTGCTTTTGATAAGAAATGTGTAAAAAGAGTAAAAAAAAAAAAATAGAGAGAGTAAAAAGCAATGTTGGGGTCGCCTTTGTCTAAACATCTACAGAAAGTTAATAGAAGAGTGAATACGTATTCAAGTTTTTTTTTTTTTTAATAATGAACACTTTAACCTGAAAAACTGAATACTTCTTCGAGATGCAGACCTCCTTCAATGAAAAGGTCAAAGAAAGCAGAGAGGGGGAAAAAAAAATTAGTCACCAAGACAACAAGCATCTTAAAATTGTAATAGTCTTATAAACCACTTAAGAGTACTTGATATTATTGTAGGGTTTTTTTTTTTATTGCTCTAAATGGGTTTCCACCTTCTGAGCTTAGTTTGCGTGACATTGCTTACGAGGCTCATTCACTCACTGTGGCTGCTTTTCAAAATGAAGATTATGAATACTGCACAATTTTCAGGGTCACTCACCTTTCAGTGGCACTAATCAAATGCCTTCCAGAGAGTGGAAAAAGTTTCTAGTTAATGAGAAATGGTATCAAAGGCATTATTGAATAAATGACTTATTATTCATCAACGGCTTACTTAGTACTGCTTGTCTAGTACTGCGTAGCTCATCCGCCCAGGTACAGTCTAAAGCAGTACTTTTCAAATAGTGGGACGGGTCCCCCCCTGGGAGGCGAGAGGGTGCGGTGAGGTGCCAGTGGGGGGGCTAGAAGCCTCCAGTCACTAGGTGGCAGCAACTTATACAGTGGTTTGCTATGTTATCAGGTTCTTGATGGTATTTCAATTCACAGCAGTGTGGGTCAGAGGGGGGCATGACAGAAAAAAAAATTGACAACCACTGGTCTAAATCAATAGATGAATCAGAAATCATATTTTTTTTGGGACTCAGTTGCACTTTTTTTTTTCGTCCATTGGCTGGGTTTGCGACTTATACTCAGGTGCAACTTATATATATATATATATATATAAAAATATGTCATTTCACGTGTTTATTTTCACACTGACAGCCACTAGAGTGCACTCTAGGCTTGCGTACCGTTATCTGCTACTCCTTTGTCCGGTAGTTATAAACCTTAAATCCTACCCTAAAATCCATCCATCCATCCATCCATCCATCCATCCATCCATTGATTATAATCTTAAATCTGCAGTAGCAGCTCTAGGTAGCCTACTCCTTTGCCACCTTTTGACTGAAGCATTCCTGGGCATTACCATGCGAGTAAGGAGAAATCATTTCTCTACCCTGGCCTTAGTCTGCCTCACGGTCACAATGAGACAATAAGTAATTAAAAATGTCAACGTAATAAAACTGGAGTACACCCCTGGTCTGTTTGCCCCAGAGCATTTTGTAAATTTATATTTTCTGGTTAAAAGCATAAATGCTGTGGAGATCTTTATAATGAGCCTCTATCGTACAGTAAGTCATGTTTTAATAGTATTGCAGTACTACAGTATTTAGTTGATGGTAGCCTCATGAACATGTGACAACAGTTTGACTTCTGCTTTCCAATCTTCTTTTTTTTTTTGTTATAAATAAAAACAGGAACCCAATTCATAGTGACGTTGCAGCTCTGGTTAACATTAATGTCTGCCTTTATACCATTGTGACCGACAGCTTTGCAGCAGAAACTGCATTTGTAGCATTCCCAAATACGTGAACGTAAAGGGGAAGTTTTGAGAAAGACGCTGATGGGTGAGAATACCACACGACCAAAAGAGGCGTCACAAGAAATGTACTCTGTAGTGCAGGCACGTTCATCCATGGCCTAATAAACCTTTGGGTGTCTGTCTCATAATGATTTTCCTCATAATAAATTAGTTTATAGTAAAATAACTCTTAATTAGTAAATAGTGTTAACATATACTTAAAATCCTACGAAAGTTTCCTTTTGCAGTTAAAAACGGTTCTATTCGTGTTTTATTTTGAAATATAATAATCCAGACCAGATTATAATTCAGTTCCCTGCTAACCATAAAAAAAAACATAGCGACAAATAACCAAAACATAACTGTTGTCAATGACCAACTGGCATAATACTGTGCACTCTCAGCTGTTGATCCTTCTTTTTTTTCTTAAGTCCTTGGGTCTCTTAAGCAGTATTGCTCACAGCAACCTTTAAGAGCGGTGGCTTTTCATAATGGAATACTATTATTAAACTGAAACAAAATGTACTTCACCCTCTATATAAATCAGGCCCTCATTGGTCCAAACTGTCCCTCACACAAACACACATTTCAAATCACCTGCTTTGCCTGATAGGTCTAGTCTTTTTTAAATGAAAATTGAATCACATTTTACAGAGTGAAGTCATGCTCTTATTAAAAATAAATAAATAAATATTGTTTGATCATAGCTATTTGTATTCTCCAGCATTTTTTGTTTTTGTTTTTGCAAAACAAAAAGTCTTGCTATTTCCATTTCCCTATAGTCCATAATTTATATATTTCTTATTTACTGGCTCATTTATTATGCAATTATTTTATTTAAAGAATAGTTGAAGCTAGGTTGAGGCAGGAAGTGGAGATTTGTGAACAACAGTATGGTTTCATGCCTAGGAAGAGTACCACAGATGCAATATTTGCCTTGAGGATGCTGATGGAGAAGTACAG